TTCAGATTTCATACTGCATTTCTAATAAGAAAATGATTAGAACAGTTATTGTAAAACATCGGATAAGTTTCTAAAACCGTTTTGATTTTGATTTCCACCCTTCCAATAATATATATATATATATATATATATATATAATACTTCAGAAGCATGCTAATGATATCGTTCAAAGTTAGAGAGTCATACCCTGAAAGAAAGAGAGCATTTAAATTGACAAGAAATTTTAGTACGTCTATTTCCACTATAAGTTATTTTTGACATTTTTTACAAATAACAACGTCAATGCTATATATCTTATATACTCTCTAAAACATCTGAACGTTTTTCGTGATTGCCATTTAAACTGATAATGAATACGAAAATAAACAACCATATAATGACAATATGATTTCATTGACAATCGAAGCACTCATTTTAATGCAGGAAATATATTATGAAATATATTGAAATATAAGCCATCAGAGAGTAGATCAGGTGTTCTGTTTTAAATACTTACGACTACAATGTCCAGATATTTTGTCACAGACACGATTGATACAACCAACAGAGCAGTCATCACAGGACGAGCTGAAGAATCCCTCCTCACAGTCTGACCGTTGCAAAATAAAAACAAACCGTATATTTAGTTTCATATTGATGTTTCACCAACATATTAATTTACAAAACAAACCCACCCCATATAAAACCAAGATGAAATGTATGCATGTCAAACATATATTAAGTATCATCTTGTTCTCCAACGTAATGTTACCTCAATTTGATGTAATTGATTTCATTTTGATGATTGGGATTTATTCCATCACCAAATCGAAATCAGTCCTGAAATTTAACAACAATGCTAACTACTACCGGAATGTGTTTTTGTGTCATACTTGTTTTCTGCTGTGCGTTTTTTCTACATAGTTTAAAATGTAGTTTTATAAATGATCCCCTAAGTTGTAGGGCTGCATATTTTTCATCATTAGTAGTAATTTACATTTTCCTTAAATCTTCATTTACTAGACGTTATAAAAATCGGATCTGGGTCAATAACGTGGAA